ACAGGCCAGAGGTGCAGGGGTGGTGAGAGGATTCACCAGAGACAGAGTGGGGAGCAGAATAGGCCGACTGAGGAAGTACATTGCTGAGGGGAGCAGTGGGCAGGTCAGGAGAGGTCAGCCGTGCCGTGTGGGTCACCTCTGGGGCTGGTTGAATTCATGCTGAAGTGGCTTTAGCTTCTTAGTGCTGTGCTTTAACCCGCTGCACCACGAGGGAGGGCCCTATCTTCATTAATTTAAAGTAGCAAAATCTGCTTTTAAAAGGACAAAAAGTAATCTTCATAGATGAAAATGTAATAAATTAAACTAACTTAAAGACTATTATTAGTCTTAGGACACCATAAAGATAATGAAAAGATTAGCAATGATGTAGAAAAATATCTTCAACACGGTTCAGGTCTGGTTTATACATCTCTGTATGTCCTGTGCAAAGATGGTTTAGTAAATGGTTTAGTACCAACAAAGATTTTTGCTGAATATATTAGGTTAGTAAGTGAACTTAGACAGTGTTTCTAAAAGCAAGAATGAGTTTTCAAGGTAAATAGATCAGCAGTGCATTGTCTAGGCAATGCCATCAGCCAGAGGTGGATCCTTACAAAAAACCAGCATGTCTGTGTGTAAGACAGAATTGCTGGAGCTCGGAGCTCAGCACTTGCAATATTAAGAAGAGGATGACATCTTCTATACCAGAAAGAAAGGAGGAGAAAGATAATTAAGGGAACCAGATGTTATGGTAAAAGGTATGATTTTTATATAATGGGACTACATCATAGGAAGCCATCAAATGCTTACAAAGGAAGGAAATATGGTTCAGTTGGCAATTAGAAAGGACATTCCGTAGAAGTATTTTTGCTGAAAGAAAGACATAAGATCATGTCTAATCTTGCCTTGTCAAGAGAACTCCTGCCAAGGACCTTTTGAGCCGCTGAAGTCCCTATGATCAGAAATGTAGGAAGTAGTTTGAGGAATAAGTTGTCAAACTCTTCCACAGCAGTCAGATTGGGATGCCTATTGTCCATATTGCTGAGTGTGTGAGTACCCAGTGACCTAGCTACTTATTCTGCAGGCAGTAAATTTCATACATTCTGTGCTAAAACGAAATAATGAAAGACAAACAAAACAGCCAGATTCTTAATTCTGAGTTAATTTCATTTATTGCAATGTGAACCCAATAAACTTTTCCTACAACCGAGTGACATTGAATAGCATTTGAAACCAAGGAGAGATAGGAAAGAAAAAAAAAAAAAAGATAGAAATGCAAAGGAAACAGTTTACATTAGATCAGGCAAGAAAATTAAAAAGGATGAAAGAAAAGACAGTCGCTATCAGTGAAGAAACAAAAGCCCATGAAGCTTGAGTTTCATTCTTGGATCCACAGCAGTATTATTGGCTGGAACGAGGGCACTACTGGCCTCCCATGGCAGAGCAAGATGGACGACACGTGCCAAACACGGGGGTCACCGGCTGACAGCCGCTGGAGAGAGGGCGCACGGGTCTGAGCCCCCCAGACACAATGCCGATTGACTGTGGGCGACAGGGCAGGTAACCAGCAGGGCCATACCCATACATGACCACACTCTGGGGACGGCAGCTGCCGGGCACGTAGCTCAGCGGCTTAAGGGTGATTGGGACGCAGGGGCTGGAGACATAAGGAGCAGTGGGAACGAAACTGGGTCCTTGGCAGGGTCTGGGCACGTAGCACGCAGCGGGAGGGATGCAGGACGCTTCCCAGGCGCTGGGCTCATAGTGGACAGGCTGGCAGCTGGTGGCTTCACCAAAAGCTTCTTGGCGGTTTTCCGCGAGCCAGGGACGGTCTTGACAGCCGCCGGGCAAGCAGTAGACATTTCCACAGCTCACGTCGGAAGGGCAAAGGTTAGCAGAGGAGGTAAGCGGGACATGGCAGGGATGTCTCAGGGCTCCCAGGCTGCAGCTTCCAGGGCAGTTGTTGGAGCAGGACATGGTGCCGTTGGTTTTCGGAGCAGTGCGAGGTTGACTGGTGAGAAGAGTGTCAGGTGTCGATGTGCTCCTGGCTGGGACGGACCCTTTATATACCCCAGAAGGTGGTGTTTTGTATACACAGTCACTTCCTGCTCCCTGTCGGAGGCTGCATCAGAACTCTTCATTATAGGCCAGGAAGTGGTGCTCGCTTCTCCCATAAAACTGGATGTTTCTTGCAATGCCTTCCATCGAATAGTATATTTATAAAGCCATGGTGCTGAATTTTAATAGGATCTCTGGTTCTTCAAGTGTCCAACCAAAACACCTCCTGTGGAGGGCCATGGACCTGTTCCCATTCTAGCCACCGCTGGATAAACATTCTTAGAATTCTTGTCTTGGGACTATTTTTAAAGTGCTAGAAAACTTTTGGAAAATATGGTGACTTCTTAAAGGGATATTCCTTGGTTGTTGGGGATTTCCAGAAAGAAGAAACTCGGGAGCAAGAAGGTTGTGAAAGAATGTGACGAATCTTATAGTTTACATGATTTGAGAATGGGTTCAAAAGTACTATCACAGACAAAATTTCAACGTGTTCAAATGTGTACTTTGCTTTATTTTAAAATCCTGGTAGAAAGTAGCTTCCTACCACAATCCTATTTTCAAAAGGCATGCTTCTTTTATTGATTGAAATAAATAAATAAATATTCGGAGCCAGATTTAAAGATATTCTTTAAGTGTAAGATATTCTTCAAATGGACAAATAAGTTGGATGGAGATAGTGAAAATTAATGATCTTACTGTAAATACAAGCAAATAACTAGAAGCCCTTAAGTAAAGTTAAGCAACATGACAGTTTTCAAAGTTATTATTTATTTCATGGACATTAATGTTCCAACTGAAAACCAATTCTTTTTTATTTTTAACATAAACATAACTAAGAATGGAACAGGAATTTGATTTTACTTTTTCCATTATTTCTATATTAATTTTCAAAGAGGCACTTCTAAGCTGTATTCCCTGGTCCAGAGTGTCAGAATAAGTGGACAGATTCCCTAAGAATGAATTCTTTGAAGAATGCTGGGGAACAACATTTTCAGGTAAAAAATCAGTGTAAAAGATGTATGTGTGCATTTAGCTTAAAAGCTGCTACTTTTTTTTTTTTTCATTTACCATAGCTAGTATCTCTTAGGATTATTTTTAACAAAAATTGTAACTATCTGATGTATCAAAGTTCCTTTAGCTAAAAAGTCAGTGGAAATCATAATACTTTCTTCTATTTTCATGTTTGATGGATTTGCCCATGCTTCACAGCCTTCCTCTCTCCAGGAACAGCGTAATTTTTAAAATAAAGATTGGTTTCTCTGTGCACCAACATAGGCCTATTTCACCACCAGGGGCAGATATCTGAAAATAAAATGATATAGTTATTCTGAGGTCCTGTGGGAACATGTTCTCATAATCTCAGTATTTTAGGTCAGAGGAAATTAATTTTCAGTGATTTGGACCTGATTTGCTGGGGAATCCCTGCAACCCCAATCTCCACCCCTCTGTCACTCATCACCTGATACTCTGTATACAGCCACTGGAGTCTTCTTGTGAAATCCAGGATGCATCAGCTAAATGGCATTAGTAATAGTTACATGTTTAATTGAATGCTTATCAAATTTATATGGTGATTCACTTTATGCATGCTCTCCTCTCATGTCAGCAATAGCCCAACATTGTATCATTAGGACACCAGCGTCTTGTGTGTACATATGTACATGCAGGTCATGTTGGGTGCATACATGGGTATTTCTCCATGAGAAGAGAGGTGAGATGAGATGAAATTGGCTTTTATTCCATGTCACCTCTGGGAAACCTCTTGTAGTGCAGTTACCTATGTAACTTAACCATAAGTTAAGTGACCTATGACACCTTAACCATAATTCTTTACAGCAGGTCTTGTTTTGCTTTTAAGCATTCATATCAGTAGACTTATGATGTAGAAAGTTCAGTAGTTGACATGAATAAAACCACTTGAATGAAGGCTTCTTGAACCCTATAGAGTTAATTTTCCCTGTCTATAGCATTAAATAGAGATGTATTGATATTATCATTTACTAACTACATAACCCTGGCTAATTTGAATAATTGTTCTGATCCCCCATCACTACCAATATCATTGTATGGAATAATGGTATTATGACTGATATTTGTTTCACAGCATCACTTGTAGATAATGTGATTTAATAAAAAAAAGTTAAATGTTAGTTGCAAAAGCACTATCTACAACAATAATCCTTTTTCTTACTTTGGCATGATTTACTTATTCCAGATAGTACGATCTTGACTTTAATTCCCTTAGTGCACCACCACAATGCTCTCTCTCTCTCTCTCGCTCTCTCTCTTTCTGTTGTGGATTGATGACACCAAAAAACTTCATGCAGTTCCAGAAAACAAAGACTGTAAGTGACACTTAATATGACAAAAGTTGAGTGGTGCCCGGTGGCTCTCACTAAAAGGGAAGAGCTCATGCAGGCATGACAGCAGGTACCTTATTAGCAGAGGTAGAACTACAAGTTCAGGTCTTCTGATGCAAGAGCCCAGGGCTAGAGGGAGGGCTGTATGTGATCCTCCAGATTTACCCACTCTTACTTTTTCTTCAGTGAACCAGGCATCCTATCTCTCCTCTCCACAGGAACGACCCTGAGATCCTCTTGATTACACAGAATCTTCAGAGCACAGTGACAATAAAGGTATGTCAATAAATTACATGACTTTTATTCATTCAGCAAATATTGCCTGAGACCGTGATGCATGGACCTTTTGGTAGATGCTGGTGATGATGTAAGATGTTACTGGTTTCTGCTTTTAGATACCTCCACACTTGTAGGTGTGGTAGGACAGATCTATAAATGACATTCAGAGAAGGGCACGCATTGCTTGTTAGCTTTATATAAAAGTTGGCATTTGATATTAATTTTAAAGGGTAGAGGGGAATCATAGGGTTTTGTGGAAAAGGAAGCACTTCAGGCTTTGGCAAAAGGTCCCAAGACTGAAAATGTGATGACACAGTGCTTTTAGGGGAGTGTTCTTGGAGACAAGTTTTAACCAAATTGAAAGTGAAATCCAGAATTTTAGCTCAATCATCAAGAAAGTAGGTAAGATTTTGTTCTACAGGTACAGTGATGTAACAACTGAACTCAAAAAGAGAGTGCTAAGAATAAATTGCCCTCTTGATTGGAGAGAGAAAATCTACTGTAACGCTTTTCCCCCAGTCCACTAAAATTAGTCTTTTCCTCCCTTTCTGTGATCACAGCTATCACTTCAGTTGGGTTTGTCCTTTTGGTGAATATACATTTCTTGCTGCCATCTTTGACTCTTACTTCTATTGGGTTCTCTTTAGCCTGACTACTGTGTTTATATGAATACAGTAAAACTGAATCTAACTTAACATTCCTTTACTCCAAAACGGTAACTCTTTTTGTTCACAGAGAATTGTGTAAATAATTATTCAGCTGTATCCTGTGTCCCCATAGAGATTCGTCCTTGTATTGTCTATTCATATCTATACTAACTCCACATCTATTATTTCAAGTCATTTCTTTACTCTCCTAACTTACCTTTGGAATAGTTCTTTAATTTTATCCACCATTCAGAACTCAGATAAATTAGCCCCTGAAATTCTTTCCAGACCATATTTACCTATCTAAATCTCTCCAGATTTAAGTTTATATCATTATCATTACTCAGTTCACCCATAAACACCTGCACATAACACACATACACACACTACACTCCATGGTATTGCAAGGGAAAAGTTCTGTATGGATCATTTCCCACTTTCTAGCTATATGTATGGAGATACTATTTATTGAGTTTCATTATATAGTAGATGTGCTTCTAAGTGTTTTATTTGTACTAACTGACAATCCTCACATCATCCCTATTCAAGCATGTATGAGCTTGAACTTAGTCAATCCTTAGTAAATAATTGCTAATATCAAATTCTTCACAAAATATGACTTAGGTTTTTTTGTATAAAATGAAAATTGACCTTTTCTTACTCAAGTCAATAATTTCTTTTATCTATTTTTTTTTCTCATCACCTATCCATTTTGGCTAGGGAAAGTCAACTTTAAAAAAAAAATAAAAGAACAGATTCAAGAGACTCAATTCATTTTGTCAAGTTTTCTTCCTGCCTGTTCTAATGTTTCTGACTAGTGCCTATATCATCTGGGCTTACAGAGGACAACCAATTATCTGGAGTCAGGTCACTACAACAAAATGAATTATCCTAATTCTAGCACCCCCTGTTGTATGCATGTAGAAACCCCTTACATTATAATGAACTGAAAGAACTAAGAAATTCCCTGATCAGTGATGAAGAACTAAGAAATTCCCTGATCAGTGATGAAGAAATTCCCTGATTAGTAACTGCTGAGGCTAAAATAACAAACTATTTTCAATTAATTTCTTACAATATTAGAACATGTTGGGTTGTAGAAACTGTGACTTATACATAATTTTAACAAAATGTATTTAATTCCCATTTTGTTCACACAAAAGAATTTTCTGCAGATGATAACAGAAAACTGTTATCATTTCATATTTGTATTAAAGATGGTGAAGAAGTTAATACTTCCTCCATTCAGAGTAAGTTTTCTCACCTCTGTAGATTTTTTTTAATGTCCTTTCTTCCACAACATATTTATTAACCTTTTGATGTGTAATTGACATGTATAAGGTGAATAATTTGATATTATTTGGCATATGTATATAACAACAGTCAGGATAACAGTCATGTTCATTACCCCCAAATCTCTTCTTTTGTATAACTCCTCCTTATCTTCACCTCACCCTTATCCCCAGGCCACCATATTGTATTATTTTTACTGTTTTGTATTACTTTGCATTGGAATGGAAACATATTACATTTACTATTTTTTATTCCTTCTTTCACTCAATATGTTTATTTTATAATTTATTCAAATTGTCACAAATATCAATAATTTGTTGCTTATATTACCTTGAGTATT